CGTGCCCGGGAGACCCGGGAGACCCGTCCCACCTGGCCGCCCGGCGGCGCCGTCCTTCTCGGCCGAGTAGAAGATGTAGTCCACCGTGATGGCGCTTCGGGCGTGGCAGGTGGTCACTTCCGGCACCCCGGTGTCAGGGAAGACATGTGAGTAAACCGAAGACAGGCTGAAGTGGTGCTGCAGGTGTGAGGGCAGGCTGCGTCGAGAAGAAACAGTGTTCAGCCGACTCAGCGCGCGGCTCGTCCAGCGCAAGCTGCTGCCAGGGCCTGGCCCGACTGCGCCCTGCCTCTGCAGGGGCGGCCAGGCCCCGCGCGGCCAGCTCAGTGTCCCCGCCTGGGGGCCCAGTGACACGCTTCCTACAACCTAAGTCGTTTTAGTTTTGTGGTTAAAATCAGTGTGGCCGGGCCCTCCCCGGGGGCGGAGCGGGTGAGGACCCAGCACGGCAAGCCGGCCGCAGCCGCCTCAGTGCGGGTGTCTTCCCCCAGTTCCTGTGTGCATAAACAAAAATAAACCTTTAAAAAAAAAAAAAGAACGGGGCACAGAGCCGAGAGTAAGCGGACACGCCCGGTGCCGTTGATTCTGACACTGGCCTTTGCACACGGTGTCACGTAACCCTCAGCACTAGCTACAGCTCAAAGTCGGTAGCGGAAAATCACGGTGATTTTGAGAAATGATCTCCTCCCCCTCCGCCACACTCAGCAGGCGTCCACCGCTCTTGCCAGAACTCACTTTTTAGCTGCCAACTCGACCCCGGCTCTGTCCAGCTGTGTCTGCGTGGGGCCGCCGTCTGCAGAACGAGACAGATGAGCACGGCACGCTTGGCTCGAGCGGGCCTCCGGGCAGCCCTGACCCCCTGGCACGCGCGCGCAGGACGAGGCCAGCAGGTGCTGGGCCGCCTCGCCAGGACCGGCAAGGAGAAGCCAACGCTTCCAAAGCAACTCATGCAAACACGCTCTTGGAGTTCAACTTCAACAGGTAAATGAAAGTGGGTCATTTTTAGCTCTGAAGACTGTATCACCTTTTGCAGGTGAGCTGCACCGCGGACTCATCCCGCCGCGGTGGCCTGCAGAGCTGAGGCTTCGCCTCCAGGGGCACCCCGGGCGAAGGAGCGGCAGGGCGGGCTGCAGACACTTACCTGTCTGTCCTACTTCTGGAACCTGCTGTATCTCATACACACAGCTCTGCGAGATACCTAGGTTTGGGGGCCAAATTGGAATAGATAAAACTCTTTGTCCCCGTGAAGACCGTTCCTGGCCAGACACCTAAACAGAATTCCAACAGGTATCTCAGGTGAGTAGGTCAGAGTTTACGCACTGAAAGTTCCTGTCCTAAGTCAAGGGAACCCAAGCGGCAAGTCCGCGCTGTCGTGGCGCTACGTGTTTCTAGATCACGGTCACGCAGCGCTCAGAAAGCGCTAGCTACGGGCACGAAGACAGCGCTCTCGGCCTGTGTCAGCCGGACGGTCTCCAGTGCGGGCCTCAGTCTCCCTCCTCCGCTGCCCGGGGCAGTTCCTAGTGTGGAAAACACAAAGCGAGATCTACTTCTCCAACTCGAAGCTGTCACCCAAAGCGCAGGGGTCGAGGGCCTATCGTGGTTAATCTAGTGGAGCTCGGGCTGCATTACTGGGACGTCACCAGCTGAAGGAGAACGTGTGTGAACAGCGGGCAGCTCTCTGGCTGGCTGCACTGCCCGGCCCGCCGCCCCCCGCCCCCGCGCCGCACCCCAACCCGGCCTGTGAGCACCTCCTCGTGTCTCAAGTACTCAGTCTGTCGCTGCTTTTATTTTTCTTCTCCCCTGTTTTGGATTTCCCGATGCCTAACGCCTCTCTGAGCAGAATGCCGCCGGGAATGGCTAAAACTCAGCCGGGAGAACACGCACTCTCAGGTGCCGTCAGCAAAGCCCCGGGGCCGGCAGCGGGGTCACCGAGGCCCCCACCGCCCGCGCCGGGCTCACGGGCTGCGGGGCCGCCGGCACCAGGAGCCCCGCTTACCTTCCCTATGGCCAGTCCTTCATAATTCAGCGTGCCTTCCTTTATGAAGCTGTAGAGCGGAGAGCCGGGAACCGAGTTAAAGTCCCCGCACATCACAATGGGGCAGAGGCTGCCGTCCTGCCGACGGGCGACGCTGGACATCTCTGCCAGCAGCATCGCCAGCTGGGTCAGCTTGATGTCGCCCCGCCGCGGGTTATACAGCAGGTGCGTGTTGGCCACACAGATGGCAGGCGGCGCCGCGCGGGCACCTTTGGGCTGCAGGAGCAGCACCAGGCCCACGTTGTCTCTGTCCAGGAGAGGAACGTCGGGGCGGTAGAACTCCACGGGGTTCACGGACAAGAGCGCAAACTTCGAGTGTTTGAAGCAAATGGCACAGCCGTCTGGCTTCTTTCCCGTCCGCATCTTGTATTCACAGTGGTAACCTAAAGAGAGACACGAGTCTCAGACCAGGGCTCGCTTTCCCGCGCCCCGGCACACGCCGCTATCCCAGTTCTGACGGCGTCGGGCCCCTGGAACCGAGGCTACAGCCTTACTCGCCCTTCCTTAGAATGAAAAGGACATCCCAGCCCAGTTTCCATGTGAAATGGCTCAACTTTTCCTAACCCTTTGAAACAGGCACCGCCCACAAATCCTCAAAGGCCCACTGGCTAATAAATTAGAGGTACACTGTACCCAGCGACTCCAAGCTCGGCCTGATCTCTGTTCCATAATGATCTTCTTGAACTTCTTGCAAGCAAAGTACCTTGGAAGAGAAAAATGCCTTGAATTAAAACAACGATGCAAAGAAGAATCACCAGGGCTTCCACTTTACAAACCGGCTTCTGGAAACTTGATGAAAACCGAAATAAAAGATTTATGATCTGGGCCCTGCTTGCTGGTGCAGCGGGTTAAAGCGTAACGCTGCGAGCTGGCCACCGCTGCTACAGTGCTGAGTTCGATCCCCGGCCCCGGAGGGGACCCCCAGGGCGCGGCAGACCTCTCCTGACCCGCCCGCTGCTCCCCTCAGCAGTGGACTTCCTCGATCTGCGTGTCCTGCTCCCCGCTCTGTCTCTGGGAGGCCTCTCACCGCCCCCGCACCTCTAGCCTACACCCCAGTTCTGTGTGTATCAATAAATAAATCTTTAAAAAAAAAAAAAAAAGACGTGTGATCCTTTTTCTGGTTATAGATCTGTCAAATTAATGTTTCCAAATCTGATCCCTCATTTAAACCCCGACCCTTCGTCGCGTGAAATGCTCTCGCTGTCCCAAACTATTTCCAGAGGCGGTAGTTTACATTTACATGCGTTTTCCTGAATTTACATGAATTTGCCTGCATTTACATGTTCATCAGCACAAAAATCCTTCTCTAAGTGGTAACTTCTAATCCCATCATCCAGACTTACTTTAAATTTCCACACATAGGAAGTATTTATCGGATACTGGGGATGGGGCCAGGCCCCTGTCTCAGAGACCCAAACTCAATACTTCTGGGGTCATTTCTGGACAGCGAGGCTATTTACTGCAGCCACTGTTGGCAAATAAATGAGCTGGCGGAAGTCTTGAGCCCTTGTTAGAAACCGCTCCATCGCCGGATCAAGCCCGTCCCCGCCTCACCCCACCCAGGGCAGGGGTTGGACCGTGCAGCTCACAAAAGGACCAGGGGACCCGACTTTTCCTTGTGTGAAGAGTTCTGAGGCCAGTCGCACTCACGTCAGCATCGAAGTGCTTGATTTCTCTCAGGATGTTCGGGAGCCGAAAGCCCCAGTGCAACACGGGCCGCCGGCAGTGCCTGTACAGGTGAGAGTTATCCTCCAGCAGGTCTTGGGAAAGTATGTTATAGGACATCACGGAGAAGTCGAACTTGCTCTCCATGTCTTCAGACTTCGAGTCAGTTATGTCTTCCAGGACATTCGCTTTTTCTCTGTGGTGGTTACATATGTACTCCCAATGCCGTTTGATGATGCCTGTGAAAACACGTTAGACCCACAGAAAGGTCAGTAAAAACCAGGCCACGTTTCCTGTCTGCAGGTCCTTCCTGGCCCCCACAGGCCCTGCGGCAGGGGCAGCGCGCCCTCCCGGGCTGGAGGGCGTGGCCAAGTTGCTCACCAAGGCAGCCTGTCGCCGACCCTGACAGCCGGTGCGGCCAGTCACTGCAAAGGCTGAGAGGGGGCGTCTGGAGACCGAGACTCGGGCTGTGGGCTCCCCCTCTTACGGCCAGGAGCGGATGGGCCACAGACGCTCACAACGTCACGAGCCTCACGCACAGCCGGGTCTCGCAGCAGGCCGCGGCATTTTACTCCTTATTAGGTCTAAGACCAGGAAGTGATGACGTTCCAAAATCAGCCGTGACCCCGGAAATCTGGGTTGCGCAAGGGGGAAGGGCGCCTGACGGCAACACGGACGCACACTCGGAGCGAGATGCTGCGTGAGCCGTGCACACAGGACCCTCCGCAGTGACTTCAGGAACGCCCAGCCTGCAGCAACCCCGGCGGCAGAGACGACTCGCGCTGTCAGAGGCCGCGGAAGGCCAAGTCGAGCGTGGGGTTCTGACGCAGGCGGCCCGCGGGCCAGAAATGACGCCGCGTGGGCAGGCCCCTGGCCTCACCTCTCGCCCCATCGAAGGACACACTGGAGACATGGGGGGGGGGGGTTCTGAGAATCTGTGAGCGCAAGAGAAAGCAACATGATGAGCGAGAAAGACCTGGAAAAACAGACCTGGAGATGGACTCGGAGAGTAATGAGATCACATGGGGAGGGAAGTCACAGCCTGGAGCGCCTCACTTTCCTGTGTGGGGAATTTCACCTCACTGCTTATAGTGCTGACAATTCACCAAATTAGAAGTTAAGCTGAGGGAAAACACTGAGTACAGCAGGGTGGGGGTGAGGAGGAGCCTGAGGGGGCCTGCGAGGAGTTTCCAGGGCCCATCTGAGGGGGTGGGAGCTTTCTTCCCCACCCCGTGTCTAGACTAGGTAGCTAGACAGTGCAGCTAGACAAAGTAGACAATGTAGCTAGACAATGTGACTAGAGAAGTGGCTAGACCAGGTGGCTAGACGAGGCAGACACAGCAGCTGTCCTCAGAATAGCAACAGACCCTAGAACAATGCTAACGAAGTGCAACTCCCCCTGGGGTGAGTTGTTCCTCAAGCTCTGAATGTGACGTCTGCCATATGGCCAGAGGGTATAAAAGGAAGATGATCTTTATGGCTCCTGAGGTAGGAAGGGGCCTGAGAAGAAACACGCTGAAGGCAGGCAAAAGCACCCCTCCCCCAGCCAAAGGCTCCACCACTGCAGGAACGAGCCTGGAGCAGCCCTCCCCGAGGAGGGAGGAAAGTACTTGTTCCCTATCCTGGCTGACTATGGACCGCCCAGCCCCAAGGGCCCACACCCAGCTCAGCAGACTTTCTGTTGGCAGTGGGGAAAACGCAACCGGTGATCTAGAAGGCAGCTCCTTCATAAATCCAGGACTGTCTGCAAGGGATTTCGCACCACCCTCACAAGCTCCGGGCATGCAGGGCAGACCGCGCTGGGCCAGGCCGAGGGGTGTGGCTGTCCGAGTGCCAGGACCGCCCCGCAGGGTCCACCATGTGAGAACGTTGACGCCTGAGATCTGAAAACTGCATTTTCGAGGCATGATGAGTGCGTAACACTCACAAACACACTGGCCTTTCTATATTCTGGCGGCTGAGGACTGGTGAATCAGCGCCTTCTGCAGTGACAGGTTTTCAACAACCGAGACCACCCGACTGCCTGACGCTTTCAGACTTCTTAGAGCTTGGCCAGCCCGTCAGCACATTCGCCCCTGTACGACGGGACTGAGGAGGAAAACAAGGGTTCCGTGGAAACTGCTGATCGAGGGGACAGCTTTGGGCTTTGTCACAGTGAGAACATCGTCACGAAAGTGTAGGTACCTTGCATGGCGTGAGGCGCAAGGTGGTCACAGCGGAGAAGCAGAGGATCATAGAAAGAAGCCCTGATTGGGTTTCTAGGGTGCTACTCAAAGCCACACGGGAGCCCACAAGTCCGTCAAACACCGCCTGAAAGTGGCGGGCAAATTCGCAATACTGTTCTCTCCACTGAAAAGAATCAGAGAGAGATCAGAAGCGGCTCAACGAGAGCCTCTTCCTGATCCCCACACCTAGGAAGAAGGGACCCAGCGTGAGGGGCACGCCGAGTTTCTCAGCACTGAACTCGCCCCCGCCCTCCACGGGAAACGGCACCTCGGGGTCCTGAGCGCTGACTGGGGCGCAGCCCCGCGGGCGTCGGAGCGGGCATCACCTCCCTCCAGAGGGGGCACTGGGGCGCTGACCGCCAGCCAGGCTGGCCTGAGGACAGCGCCTCGGCCTCAGGGGGCTGATGTGGCCGCGCCCAGGAACCCCAGTGAACGCTGCCAGGGGCCCCGCGCACTGCCCAGGCGCCTCGCAAGCGCGTGCAGGTGGCAGCGTCTCCGCGGTGCCCAGACGAGTGTCTACTCCGTGGACGCGACGCTTCCCAGGCTCTTCGTGACGGCGCAGCCAGACACTTAGCTGAACGGTGGCTCCCAACGCCGCCGGGAGGGCGGCTGAAGACGAGCATCTCACAGGGGAGAGAGGAGCCCGCGGGCACTAAGCTGCCAGCCCCGGCTGCGGCAGGTGAGCTCCCTGCACCCGGCCTACTCGCCGGCGCCGTCCGGGTATTCTGTGAATAAGCGTCGGCGAAAACCACTGCCCGGTAAGAGAGGCAGGCCAACTCCGCTCAGACACAGACATCTGGGGGGCTGGGAGGCCTGACGGGGGGTGCACAGGGGAGTCTCGTCACTTGTTCAGAGTAAAAAAATGGCGACAAAGTGAAAACCATCAACATATTTAGAAAATGTCTCTCACGGCTGAGTAAGGTGTGGTTCCCTTGGCCAAAGATAAGGCCTCCTGCGGGCTGGAGGTTCCATCTGGAGGCCCCAGTTTGAGAACTGCAGGGCTAGTAAGGAATCCTATACGAAAAGCCTTTCCTTATGACGGTTTTTATTCGAGAGTCTTCCTGTCTAATGAAGAAGTCAGCATTAAAAATGAAAACACAGGGGCCCTCCGCGCTGGAGCAACAGGTTAAAACACAGGACTGCTAAGCTGGCCATCGCCACTTCAGTGCGAGTTCAATCCCCGGCCCTGGAGCTGACCCACAGGGCGCAGCAGACCCCTCCAGTCTCCCCGCTGCCCCCCTCAGCAGTGGACTTCGTCCATCTGCCTGTTCTGCTCCCCACTCTGTCTCTGGGGAGTCCTCACCGTGAACCCCTGCACCTCTGGCCTGCCTGTCCCCCAGGACTGTATGCATCAATAGATCTTTAAAAACAACAACAAAAAAGAAAACACAAAATCGAACTTTTTGATAAAGCTGGACACCCGACAATCTATACGCCGGTTTCTAAGCGTCTAAGGAATTTTGTCCAGAAAACACGTTCGTCTTCATGCCTTAACCTACCCGGCGCGCTTTCCCAACCTCATTCTCGATGGAGTCATCTCTGTTTTCACTTCCGACAGCACACCGTTGCCGTTAAAGACGTCATTTAAAAATAAATAAACAAACACAATTTCCTTTCTCCTGCCATAAATCTACAGGCTAAAAACACCAGATGCCTGTAAACCCGCAGATCCGCTTGGGGTCTAGACAGCAGGCTGTGACTGGCCACGGCTGCCCGAGACGCACGTCGCCTTTACCTTGGTGCTTTCTTCGCTTCGAGGAAGGCTCCCCTCCCTCCGAGGGCATGACGGGGCCGGAGAGGTGGCTCAGGGCTGATCTGCTCAGGTCCGGGTTCCAGGTCCAGCACTGAACCTGACTTCTGGACTCGAGCGAACAGGGCGGCCGCCAGCGCAGCGAGAAGCGCCTACTGCTCAGATACGGGTAGGGCGCCCGGGAGTAGTGTCCGGGCCACCGCAGGCAGCTGGAGAGGTGTCTGTCCCAGCAGCCGGTGCGCAGGGCCTCCCACGGCGCGGGCCAGTCTCTGCCCAGGCCCCTCTGGGGGTGCGGCAGCACGGGGTGTCTGGAACAAAGAAATAGGCTCCTTGAGGCACCACTTTCTGTTCTGCCACGGACCATAAACTCTGAGTTTCCGCAAGGGAAGAGAGTGCATGGCGTGTAGAATCTGGCCTCGAGACCTGTGAGGGAGGTCGGGCCCGGAGGGCGGCTGTGATTTAACTATTAACAGCTGTATCTCGATGTTCTCGGGGCCCTCCCTGGTGGGGCAACGGGGTAAAGCGCAACACTATGAGGCGATCAGAAGCCACTCTGGCAAGAGTTCGAGCCCTGGCCCCGGAGGGGACCCCGGAGGGCGCGGCAGACCCCTCCGGTCTCCCCGCTGCTCCCCTCAGCAGTGTGCTTCGTCCATCTGCCTGTCCTGCTCCCCACTCTGTCTCTGCTGAGTCCTCTCACCCCCCTGCACTTCTGGCCTGTACCCCAGTTCTTGTATGCAGAAATAATAAATCACAGTCGCTTTCTACCACCTAAAATCATGGACAAGCAAAACCCACAGCAGACCGAAAGCCTGAGTACAGAGCATCTCGACCCCAACGCGGGTTTGTTTCCGAACAGCTTTTTATCCGAGCTCAGCATTTCTAGGCATCGGCGTTGTGAAGGAAACAGACGCCTGTCACAATTTCACTAAGCACCTTTCTCTACACTTGGGTGGGTGTTTTTCTCTTCTGTAAGGGGGAACCAATGAAGGCAGAGATGACACCTGCAAATGCACCCACAACCCAAATCCTCCTGCTCCGATGTCGCCCTCTCAGTCTCTCCACAGCAGCATCATCTGACTGCTCAACCACCACCGTCTTCCTCTGTACTGCTCTGACATGTTAGGGTTGGGGGGCAGGTGTCCACGATTCATTAAAGGTGCATCTTTTGGTGTGACTAAGGAACTTGCTTCAAAAGTGAGGACTTTTACATGCTCAGGTCTTTTCTTGAACTTTGTTTGCTGTACATTTTTGCAGCTCACGCTTCCCCTACTGCACTCTCAAATAAACCTCACAGTAAGATGTTGTTTTTTTCAGATTTTTAAAAAAAGATTTATTGATGCATACAGAACTGGGGGACAGGCCAGAGGTGCAGGGGGGTGAGAGGACTCACCAGAGACAGAGTGGGGAGCAGAACAGGCAGATCCATGAAGTACACTGCTGAGGGGAGCAGCGGGGAGACAGGAGAGGTCTGCTGCGCCCTGTGGGTCACCTCTGCGGGGGGATCGAACTCGCACTGAAGCGACTGCAGCCAGCTTGCAGTGCTGCGTCCTATAACCCGTTGGGCCACCAGGGAGGGCTTCACGGTAAGTTTTTCAAGGCCGTCTTGGGCCTTCTGTCCTGTTTTGCAGCAAGGGCGAAGCCAGCAAGTTGGGCGCCTGCTCGATACAGTTTTCCTGCCTAATAAGCTCCTGTGGTGGATCCCAGAACTTGCACCCCAAGACGTAGTCTGTCTCTGCAGCTGCAGAGGGAGATTCGGGTGCCATAAGAGGCTGAACAAGGCCAGGGCTTTCTCTCTCTCAAACTCGGGGTCCCTCCCCTCGATGCCGGGCACCCTGGTTGGCGCTCAGCGCTGGCCATCTGCCCCCCGGGAGTGCACCCCCATCACTCACCCACCCAGCAACACGGCGGCCCAGAGCGGGACTGCCCACACAGGGCCCGCCACTGAACGCCCCGCAGGCTCGATCTCGGGGCTCCCGGTCCGCGCATTCGGAGACAGTCCCGCCCCAGCTCGCGGGCGCGCACGCACCCCCGCGCTCTGGCAGAAAAGGGGGCGATTTCTGGAAAATCACCGGTGAAGGGGCCGGGCGGACCGCGGGCACTCTGGGGCGGGCCGG